GAATGGTTTTTTGCTAGTACTTCAAATCAGCTTCAGTATTTCCACTGATAGATTTTAGTATGTACTACATTTTTATTGAGATAAATAAATAAATATGTCTAAGCTTTTCTGTGCTCTTCATAAGTAGTTTTTTTTTTTTTTCTTCATCTTGGACCTCTTTGAATTTTTTAAAATGTTATTGTTAATCTTAATTGGGTTTGTTTTGGACATTCTATTTAATTTTTTTTAAACTATTGTAATATGTGGGGTTTTTTTAATGTTGTACGCCGCCCTGAGTCCTTGGGAGAAGGGCGGCATATAAATCCAATAAACCAAACCAAACCAATATCTGATTTTAGATTTTAAAAATTGATCTTCTATGTATTTATGACCAACTCATGCAATGCCATTAAACCATTTTGAGAAGCAAGAACATCAGATTGAGTACCTCAAATTCCAAAATGATATTGGTTAGTCCAAAGTACATGTCTAAGCTTTTCTGTGCTCTTCATAAGTAGTTTTTTTTTTTTTACTTCATCTTGGTCCTCTTTGAATTTTTTAAAATATTCTTAGAATAATTTAAAAAAAACTGTTTATTTCTGAAATCCTATTACATGTGGGGAAGAGAAGAAACCACATTAAATTAATCCATATTTATTTATTTATCTCAATAAAAATGTAGTACATACTAAAATCTATCAGTGGAAATACTGAAGCTGATTTGAAGTACTAGCAAAAAACCATTCTATCTAAAACTAAACGTATATACTTTTCTTTGGTCATATGCAATAACAGCCTTTGCAGCTAATCGGCAAAGGCTTCTTCTTTCCCAGTCAAATGGAGATAAACTAGGGACAAAACAGGACCATCCTTTGGGGAACTACTAACTGCATCATCTCCAGATAATGTAGCCTGATGAAATGTTTGCTTCTAGGTAAGATTGAAGAACCCAGGCACCATTGTTATGAGATGAATGGAGGGAAATGCAGCTTTCTTTTATATTTAGTTTTTCTTAAATGAATTATTGTATTTGAAATCTTTTTCCTTGTCATGTTTGTTTGCTTACTTTAGAAGTGAGTAATTTAGCACTATATTGTACATTTTGAATCAGATACAAAATTGTAGGTTGATTTACTTTCTAAAAGAAGAAAAAGAGAATGCAGAAAAGTACAGAGGAATAATTTATTTTTCCAAATCAGTTTCTAGTATTTTTCAGCTCAGCTTCCACTTGAGGCAATAAAGAAATAAGCATGCCACATAAATCAGTGCAGTAGGTTTAGTATCTCTCTCTATATGTAGATATCAGTTTGTCTGTCTCTCTACCTATTTACTTACATCCTTCCATATTAACTGAAAAGGCAGTTATACAAGTTGTACTGAGTTTCAGTTTTTGTCCCCATAGTTTGCAAAAAGAGAAAATGTTACCTACCATAAGTTACAAAAGAGCTAAATAACTGTATGGGGGAAAAAGTAATATAGTGCTGGGGGATTTTTCCTAGCATTTTTTTAAAAAAATGGTGGGAAGATAATGATTCAGTTTACATTTTAGAAACTGACTTAGATAAAACTAAAATTATTATGTCATGGGGAGATGGATTAGATCTAAAAAAAGAAGGAAGGAAGATAAAACAGACAATGACATATTTTCTGCTGAATCATTGTTATGTAGAGAGTTTCTTAAGTCATATGGTATATTCTTAAAATAGTCTTCAAAATCTGAACACCATTTTTGTATCCTCCATTAAGTTCAAGAAATTGTAGAAGTATTGGCATATTTGCTAACAAAGCACTCACTCCTAAACCTTGAAGCACTTCAAAAAGTTGCCATGATTGATGACATCAAAACAGCTTAATAAGGGCTAGGATGTATACATGACTACAGTGGTGAAATTCAATTTTTTTACTACCAGTTCTGTGGGTGTGGCTTGGTGGGCGTGGCAGGGGAAGGATACTACAAAATCCCCATTCCCTCCCCACTCCTAGGGGAAGGATATTGCAAAATCTCCATTCCCTCCCCATTCTGGGGCCAGCCAGAGGCGGTATTTGCCGGTTCTCCGAACTACTCAAAATTTCCACTACCAGTTCTCCAGAATCTGTCAGAACATGCTGAATTTCACCCCTGCATAACTACCATCCCAGACCAATCTGAAGTTATCTACTCCTACTTGCTAGCTTCCCATCTTGAGCCACATGCATCACCAGCTCTATGAAGGCAGAAAGCCTTAGTGAAGGAGTACACTAAAATTTTGAGAAACCCCCTTCTTTGTGCGCACACTGATCTTCCTCAGCTATCAATTGGCAGGCTTAAATTCAGGAAGCCCTCTCTGGCACTCACTCAACAGCTGTCTAACAACTTTGACATCAATACACCCAGATACAGGCAGTTACATAGATGACTACACAAAAGGTACCAGTTTCAACCTTCTTCCCCAGCATTGGTCAATTCTGAACAGGATCCATACCCAACATGGTTTTTGCCAGGACCCCATTAAATGGGGTGTTGTCTCTATCCCTCAGTGTGACTGTGGTGCTCCTCGACAAAATAGCCATCACATTGTGTCCGAATGTCCATCAAGAGCTTACACCAGCCCAGTGTCTGATTTTTTTTCAACATAGACCACCCTGTCCTTGAATGGCTGGGTGGACTGAACATTAACATTTGAACCACTATGAGTCCATGTATTTGCCATAAACTAAATAAATAAAATTCACGTAGCCCTCTACTTACAAGCACAATTGAACCCAAAATTGTTGCTATATGAGAAATTTGTTAAGTGGGTTTTCCCCATTTTATGACTTTTCTTGCCACATTTGTTAACTGAATCACTGCACTTGTTAAATTAGTAACCCAATTGTTAAGCGAATCTGGTTTTTCCATTGAGAAACCTGCTTGTCAGAAGGTTGCAAAAGATGATTGCATGATCCTTGGACATTGCAACCATCAAAATGTGAATTAGTTGTCAAGCATTTGAATGTAAATCATGTGACTATGGGGATGCTGCAATGATCATAAGTGTGAAAAATGGTCATATGTCATTTTTTTTCAATGCCGTTGTAACTGAATGGTGACTAAGCAAACTGTTGTAAGTTGAGGACTACATTTATAGAATATTTATATGTCTCAGAATATCCAATTATTGGATGTCCCAAACGAATGATATCTCAATTATCATTTGTCTACAATACTTATTGAAATATTAATTTATCTAACATGCAAATGTGATTAAAGTAGTGAATTGTAATTTGGTGAGCCATAAAGTTGCACTGATTATTATGTACTAGAATGACATTAATATAACTTGTAATTTATTACAGCTGTTGATTGGTTTTGAATCAGGAACAGTGGCATTATGGGATCTCAAATGCAAGAAGGCGGAATACAGATACACACATGATGAGGTAAAAAAAAATAAGTCTGGCATGTTTTGAGTCATACTGTAATTTTCTTGACTGTATTGGAGTTTTGCAGAAGAATTATTATTTAGTAAATGTTTACTCATCATTGTTACTTATATTTTTGGGGGAAGAATCTAGATACAGTTATCTAAATAAAGCAGGAAAATATTCAATTTATTGATTGACATAGGAATTTAAAGGTTATTAAAATGGCTTTAAGTGTTGTAGTACCTAAAAGTCTATCTCATATATAAAGGACAGAGTAGATTATATGTTTTAGCCTCCCTTGTATACTTGGATTATGAGATTATTGGGATACCTCATATGGACTCAATGAATAATTTGGGTTTGCCCTCCAAGTGGGAGGGTCAGAACTATTAGACCTATTTTTTCCTGTTATGTAGGATTTTGTGGAGAGCATTAATAAGGAAAATGAGTGTCTTAAAACTTGCAGAAGTTATTTTAACATTTCTTATTGCAATCTTTGAAAGGTGCCAAAAAACTGGGGAATAATAAAAATTGCAACTTTTAAAGAAAGGAGAAAAAAGTATCTAAAGAATCAGGGATCAATCAGTTTAATATCTATAGAGACAAGAAACTAGTTACTAAACCAGAATAAGTGAGCTTTTAACAGTGTTGCTTTGTCAGATAATTTTCTCTCTTTTTTATGACAGAAAAAGCTAGTTACGTAGTAGAAGTAGTTTACTGACTGATTAGTCTTGCAACATTATGAGCAAAATAAAATATAATACATAATTTGCTTTCAGAATGAAATAGATAGAAGACGGTACAATGATAAAATATCCATTTAGTAACACAAGGAATTAGTAATCAGATAGATGAATCTCCCTTAAAGGGAACACCAATCTGTTAAATATTTCAGGTTCATAGGAACCCTGATTTAGTTATAAATTTAGCAGTTTTGAATACAATGTGCATATTTGAGCCAAAGAAGAAATATGATTGTAGTTTGGATTGCAGTTGGCTGTTCTTTTCAATAAGGATAGTAAGTATTTAAACTTAATGGGGCATATAATTGAGATTTGAACAATGTATAAGAAATATGTTGAGTAGCTAAGACACTGCATGTACAGGTTCTCTCATTATTTGGCAAGTGGTGGAAATGCTCATATTTGGCCATGAAGTTCAATAACTCAAACTTAAATAGAGCAAAGGAAAGCTGTTGATGTTGTATGCCTTGATCTCAGTAAAACATTTGATCAGGAGATTCATAATAGCCTTGTGGACAAGGTGGAAAAATATGGACTAGACGGTACTACAATACAATACAATACAATACAATACAATACAATACAATACAATACAATACAATACAATACAATACAA